AGCTTAACTATCATACAGTTTTTCTTACATGTGAAACACAAAACATAAGTAAAGAGCAAAGTAAAAGATAGTAGGAAATAGGGAGATAGATCTTTTGCAAATAAGAGGGGGACCACGAAATGGAGGGATTGAGGAGGAAGAGGAGGGCAAGGGAATGAAAAAAGAATTGAGATGTGTCATGCAAACATTGAGATGTAGTAATGCCCCATGAGGGAAGTAATTATTATGTCCTGCAAACACGTACTAATAAAACAATAACAATTGAAAAAAATAAACTGTTTCTGTACATGCATTCCTCATCCATTCCTGAGTTCATTCAACATTTCCTGAGTGTTCGTGAACTTCCAGATGTGGTCTTTGTGCTGAGGACGCCAAGTGGGAGAAGGCACAGTCCCTGCAGCAGGGCTGCCAATGCCCCTACACATCCCTCCATCCTTTGGGTCCCAGCAGGCAAAACACCCACAGCCCAAGGGCTCTGTTGTTGCCCTGCCTGAGGGTGTTCTCCACCCAACACAGGCTTGTCTCATCACTTTAGTTCAGATCTTGAAGGTCCTCCAGAGGCCCCCATGTGTAAAAGTTGGGGTCCCAGGCTGGCACACTGGGAACTGGTGTAAACTCAAGGTTGGGCCCAGTGCGAGGTCCTTACGTGGTTAGAGTCCCCAGAGAGGACTGTGCAATCCCAGTCCCCTCTTTTTCACTTCCTGGCCCTGAGGTGAGCAGCTTTGCTCCACCATGTATTCCCACCGAGATAGTCTACCTCACCCCAGGCCCAAATCCATGGACCCCACTGTGTTTGGAGCAGAACCTTCCAAACTAGGAGCCAAAATGTACTTTTCTTTTTAGAAGGCTCTGTTCCAGTGACAGAAAGCTGATGTCCACGTTGAGGAGCTCCCCTAAGACCGCAGGGGAGGGAGTTAGTGGATAAATTCCCAAGCATCCCTGCCCTTCAGTAGGACTTTGTGAGATGTGTGCTTTCCAGAATACCTGTCCTTAGGAGGAGGCAGTGGCTCCTGGAGATGGCCTTTCTAAGAGTCCTGCAGACATCGTTCTTCGCCTCCTTCCAAAGAACTTGGTGGGACCTCCAAGATAATACAGGGGAAATAAATGTAACTCTCAAAATGCTAGATGTTAGCTATGCCGAGTTCATGTTCCCTGAAGCTGAAGAGTAAATTTCAAGGAACAGTGGAGGAAAAAAGTAGAAGAGTTTCTTGGGAAATAGAAATGAGAAGTAGGAACACCTCCTGAGAGACAGAAGGGGTCCTGAATGGGTTGCCCAAGCATCTTTATTTAAAGAGTAAAACTATATGCAAAAACCCTCCTCCCTTTTACGAAAGATTGATACATTTTTTTCTGGCAAAAAGTGAAATGCTGAAAAATTAATATTTTATATGCTTTAGATCTGAAGACAAAGGTTTGTTTTGCAATTACAAATTTTAAATACTTTCATGCCACATCAAAGATACACTACTTCTTTATAAAAGACAGTAGAATGAACTGGTGAATGCAGAGAAGAAATATTTGATGACCTCATCAAATATATTCAGAGGCATAATCCTTTAAAGAAAATATTGTATTTGACTATCACCATTAATCTGGGGAGAAAACAACACTTTTACCATATTAACTGACACGCAGTGATACTAAAATCAATGTGATTAGTGGACTCTTGTGAAGACGAACCACACATTACAATTCTGTGTAATTTGTTTGATTTTTCCTATGCCAACACAAATTTTCAAAATTCAGACTAAAAAGACACTGTACGAAAGTTAGCTCAATGCAAAATTCACGTGAGGAAAAAAAAGTTTTGGAACCAAAGTGAGTATATCATTGTTCTTGCGTGTCTAAGGAACAAAAGAGCAATAATTTTATGTCATCCTCTAAATATATATTCTCCTATGAAAAATTCACAAAAACAAAATGGAGTGAATAGCATGAATTATATTTTCTTTCATAACATAAGTTGTTTTTTAAATAGAAGGACAGACCACCTAGGAAACTGTGACCTCAAGAAGGACAATGGAAATGTTTAATATGTAAGTTGAGACAAACTAATGAAACCTTCTTGAATGAATTGGATAAATTAATCACATTACTTGTATTTTAGTACATGAAATGATGGTGAAAGAAGTGTAGAAAAAATAGCATCTGATCATGTATGAGAAAAATCTGTTCAAATTATGACAAATAAAATAAAAACTACCTAAGAAAGAAAATGGATAGAATGTAGTCTTTTTAAAAATCCGGGGAATGCTTAAAAGAGAAAAAAAAATATGTTTGATTTTTAGGGATCTAAAAAAAGAAACAACAACGGGTCTTCTTGCCTTAAAAACAGATACACATGTAAAAGACACAAAAAGTCTGTCTTCTTGGCTAAAACTTTAGCAGACATGTAAGCATTTTCAATATAAAAGTCATGATATACCTGATATACCAGAACAGTACACTTGATATCTTAAACAATCAATGTCATTCTTTTCAAAGAAGCCAAATTTTCAAGGAATGCCAAGTATTTTATACCTTCTTAGTTGTAATTATATCTCTTGATTGATTGTAGGTAGATATACAGACAGTATGTGTATATACAAATACATATATATAAATATATATGTATTTGTGCATACATAGGCATACATTACAAAGGTGCTCCCGGAGTTCTTAATTGGATTCACCACTGACTGTTGCTAATTACTGCTAGTACTTGAAATTATTTAGATGCAATTTCAAAGAGAATGTCCACCACCTCAAGTGTTCAGTATTTGGGGCTGGCTTGCGGTTTTTGTGAATGAGTAGGATTGAACTAATATTAATTTCCTTTATGGAACCTGGTGGGTGATCAGAACCCTCAGGAGCCAGCCTCTCTGGAGAAGAAGGTGGACTTACCACCTACTGTATCTGTGACGTCTTAGGTGATTTTATTCCACATCCTCATCTATAAAATTCTGTGACAGTACTTACTCCTTCGAAGTACCACTCTTAAATGTGTTAAGACTTTAAGTGCATGCCACAGTAATAACTATACATATTTTCTTTGTCAAAGTAACAGAAAAAATCATTAGGTTTAACTTCTTTTGGACCCATGGGAAATTAAGCCAACAGTGTTTATCTGTACTGCTTAGATTCTTAACAGTAGTTTGCTACAATTACAGTTTTAGGGATCTATTTTGTTTCATTGTTATGTATTAAATTCAGTATGTTACCTGGAGAAAAAAAAAAGCATATCCATTATGTTAAAAAAAAAATGTGGGAGAAGTACAGCCCAAGTTTAGGTACTATAGAAGGAAACTTTAAGGCATTACCATCACTAAGGAGTCCAGTACTGTGGGCAATCATAGATCTCCAGATACTATGAACAGAAGAATGGTTTCCTGAAATATGTAGATCTAGAGGACCCTACAGGCACTGACCCTGGTTTTGAATATGGTGACCTCATCCTCCCAAGCATGTGAACATTTTGAGTTTCTAAGGCTGTGGCTCACGTGGATGCTGCCATAAAGTAGCCACTAAAATCACACGGCAAGCACACGGTCCTGTTAACACCATCGGTTTTTAATTGCTGAGGTCAAGAGGTCTCTCTGGTTATGCTGCATCTATGGTCATGTTGGAAGCCCCAGCTCTTCCAGTCACTACAGTATGGTTGTCCTCCTGACACTCACCTGCCTCCCTTCCTGTAGTTGTTGCTGGCTAGGGGTATATAAAAGCCTCAGCCCTCAAAGTCATGTAGTGACCTACTGTTCAGTGTCATGTGGCTCCTATGGCCATCTATGCTGTACTGCCTGCCTTCTCCCACGCTAGCTCGGCACAGTGGCAGACTCAGCCCACTCCTTCACTTGAGGATTGTGAACTACGGAACCCTGAAGATCCAGGTTCCTCAGCTAAGCGGCACCTATTATCATCACACTGGAGGCAAAGTACTTGCTATGGGTCATAGGACCACTGCAGCTATCCTGTGGCTGTTGCTCCTGGGGTCACGTGCCCCACTCCCGTCACCTGACTCTCGACCCTCTCAGTTACCTCTCAGTTGCCCATAATGCCTCACTCCCGCGGGTCACGTGGTTCCAGCGTCATCTGACGTCCCCTAAACGTCAAGTACCAGGATCTGCCAGTCACGCGCCCATCAGCTCCAGGAGGTGGCTCTCTGAGGAGTCGGAATTAATGAAGGTTAGAACTCTCACTGGTTCCTGCACTCTAGCTCAGTTTTGATCTGGCTGAGTTCCCAAACTCCACAGACTATTAGAACTAAAATGGTAGATGGTTTTCCAGTAGACGGGGCTCTACCTGTAGTACACTTTTCCTCAGGGTTTCATGCTTAAAAGGGTAAGCTAGTGGCTGCCGACCAGCACAGAGGAGAAGCGGTGGGACGGAGGTGAGAAGAGCTTTCGAGTGTGGACAAACTTCTGTACACCTCACGGAAGAAAGATTCGGGAGGGCGGGGGGCGGCACTGCGCATGTGTGCCTATGTCCGCGTCCTGCCCTCATTCTGCACTCGCAGGATCTGTTGTTGGCAGAGAATGAGGTGAAGGAGGGAGAAGCACTGGGGCTATGGACTGGGAGGTGGAAGGCCACAGTAGTCCACGGCTCTTTAGTCATCTGTCAAGAGCAGGGCACTGGGAGCCAATGGGACCACCCTCCCCTCCCTCGCCCCCTGAATAAAATCGTACCTTTGCCTATCACCCTGTCCAATACACTGTCTATGCAGTGGGATGCCCTCCTGTGCCACTCCTCTGCCTGGGCCGTTTCTAAGGACACCGGAGACCTCTTACATGCCAGTTCGTTTAGTTTGTTGCACAGATGATTCCAAATCCAGTCTCAGTCTCCGCTTCTTCTTTTATTTTGTAAAGATTCTCTTTGTTCCCCTGACTTATTTTCCTGGCAGACAGACATAGGCTCAGGGAATGAGCAGTGTGGGGAGGAAAGCAGGGGGGGAGGGGAGTTTGGAGCAGCAGAGAGAAAGTCAGTTTTTTTAAAAGTTGGATATTTCAGCAGAAGTGTCACAGCAGCCATGACGTGAAGATTCAGAAGTTATTGCACTTAATTTGAAGTTTGTTAGTTTTACAGAGTACATTTGGAAGTGGGCAGGGAGACAGCCTTTCTGTTTTGAGGATCTCTGAGTGGCTTAAAGCAGTCCAGCCGTCCAGTATTGGCTTGTGATTTTTCTCCCTTCTTTTCTAAGCATTATTTCTTAAATTGCTTTCCAAAGCTTCTTTTTCTTCTAGTGGAAAGGTATAGTGAAAAGATTTAAGAAAAATATGGAGTAGAATCATAGGTGATACATTTGGTACATCCTGAAAATGGTATTGGATGAGTAAATTTGAGCCAGTAGCAAGATTCTGATTACTTTGATGTGGTTGTAAATATTGCTCGATAGGTGGTTAAAGAATATTGTCAGTTGTGATATATTTATAATATGGGTAAAAGCTTAGTAATGTATTCTATTTTTCTCTCATTTCTGCATTTCCAAATTTGTTCTGTAAAATTCCAGGGCCAAGAGACAGCAAGAACAAAAATGTGTTCTATGGTAAAGAAGTTCCAGAAATCCCGAAATGAAGGTAAATTAATTTCCATACTATAGAACATCCTTTTTCTAGAGAATACATTGATATGTAACAGAAATCTCCAAGGGAGAGGTAGTTCCCCAACTCCTGTGGGAATGGAACATTCTTCCACAGAGCCTTGGAGATACTAGTGTCCTTCAGGAAATGTTTCAGAAAATCCTGTTCAAACTAGTGGAAATCTTTTGCCACGTTAAAACCGTGTGCTGCTCTGTACTAAGAATAGTGGAGTGCATTTTATTAATAATTATAACCTGTTCTTCTAATGAGAAATTACTTAGTGCTCCCTAATTCATCTTATCTCATTTGGCAGTTTTTCTTTTGCTCAAATCTTTTCTTTTCTCCTTCCTTAGAGGTACCCCCAATTTATAAGTATGCCTCTGATATCATGGGGGCAAAAATAACTTACATAAATGTAAGTCATTAGAAAGTGTTGGGCCAGGGATTTAGCTCAAAGGTTCCACCGCCTGCTGCGCAAGCACAAGGACCCGAGTTTGATCCCCGGTACCAAAGAATAAAAAATAAAATAATAAAAAAAAAGAAAGTGTTAACTGTTGCATCAAGTGTAGTGTCTCGTGCGTGAGCATAGGATGCAACTTACGTAACTGTCAAGATGAGCAGACTCAGTGCCCCTCGTTTCATACAGTTAAGCCACAGGTTTTCAGAACTGCCTTACTATCATATAATAACTGCAGCTGCCATATTTTGAGTCCCTGTTGTGTGGCAAGCAGCGTGATAATTTTGTCATGTAAGTTATCTCATTTCACCCCCAGAACAGTACTCAGAGGGCGTTGTTTTAATTTACATATGAGTCATGGAGGGATTGGCTTATGCCATGGTTATAGGCAAGCCCCACATCTGGGTGGCTTGTTGCTCACTCCAACAAAAAGTCCGGGGCAGATGCAAATCCTGCATGGGATGGTTTGGGGCTTTGAGTAGCTCCTAATGGAATAATTGGGCCCCCAAACTGATGGAGCAGCCACTGTCTAGAATAAAAATGGTCACTCACTGTGCCAGAGGGGAAGAGAGCCCCTGAGCATTTCAAACTGGCAACCAGATGTTCTGGCCTAGGAATAGCACAGGACACTCACAATTGGTTTGGCCAGAGCTAGTCACTCACACACCCCATCCAAAGGAAGGCAGTTGGGAACTACAAGGGACAGTGGAAACCCTTGGCGAATAGCAGCACTATGCCGTGTAGAGGAATGGAAGCCCAGAGAGGTTAAGGACTTGCCTAGAATCACAGAGGCTCTAAGTGACAGAATCTGGGTTTGAATCCACACAGGTATGATTTCAAAGTCAGTGTCCTTTCTATTCCTTTCCACACCACAGGCTACTCTCTTAAATGGAGTTTCTATGTGTTTATATAAAAACTCTTTAACGTCTGTGATAGAATTCCTTCTTCCTTAATCATCTGACGTTTCAACCAACAGTTGCATCGCTTAGACATGATGACACTGGTCAAAAACACCAATACTTTTCCTTAACCTTCTTTCCTTCCCCTACTCAGGAAAGGAAAAAACGGAAACAAAGTCTGTAACTAGGGAGGAATGGAGAGGTTGAAGGGAGGGCAGGGGAATGGGGAAAAAATAAGAACCAAGATGTATCATGTAAAGGTACAAATTCCCAAAGATGAATGTCATCATATTGTATACCTAAGATGTACCAATAAACTTTTTTTTTTTGCTTAAAGTCTTTGATTGGTACATTTTAGGTATACAGTACATTTACATTTATCATTAGGTGCTTGTACCTGTACATGATGTATTGTGGCTCTTATTTATTTCCCCATAACCTGTGTGCCCTTCACCCCCTCCACCCTTCCTTATTTACACAGACTTTGTTTCCATTTTTTTCTTTTCTCATAATTTTTCCTTTCCCTTCGCTCCTTTCCCCTTACCCTCCCACTTCCCTACCCCTCTGGAACTTTTCTTCCTGTTTCAAATTATTAATTATTCATTTTAATCGTTTTAATACTTATTTACACTTTCACTTCCTCACACTAGAGATACTATTCGGTATTTACACATGTCAGTCCTATTTATTTCACTTAGGAGTTTGGCCTCAATATGCATCCATTTAGCTATGAACGTCTCTAGTTTCTCATCCTGTATGGCTGAGTAGTACTCCATTTTATAAAAAAAACACATCTTCTTTATCCAGTTTCCAGTTGATGGGCACTTGGGGTGTTTCCAACTTTAGCTATTACGAACTGTGCCACTATAAACATGGGTGCACATATATCGCTGTGGTATGATTCTTTGAATTCTTTGGGGAAGATACCCAGCAGGGGAATAGCTGGGTCAAATGGGACCTCTAGCCCTAGTTCTTCGAGGTATCT